CGAACCCGCGTCTCCTGCATCGGCAGGCGGACTCTCAAGCACTGCGCCACCAGGGAAGCCCGGGTGTATCAGTTTTAAATTCATTTTCTTAAACAATCGTGGATTATAATGTACCTGAAGGTACAAGTTATACATACTTGGAAAAAAACATGTTTTAATCTTGAAAGGCTTTTACTTTTGCATGTGATGAAATAGTTTAAAAACTGTGAAAATACATCTGAGTGAGGTATTTCACTTTGATGAAATCAAATTCTCCACAGTGTAGTTAGGCACACTCATACTATTTATACCTTAGGATTTAACAGTTTTCTTTAAATCTTATACTCTCCCAAGAAATCTTTATAACTGTTGATCTTTAAGATCTCTGAGCTCTGACATTACAAACTTAAGGGGGAATTTTAAGCCTTAGACGCACTAAAGATGAGAGTAGCTATCTGGAGAGCCAAGCCATCTATATCCTCCCTTAAAAAACTCTATCAGTTCCTTTAGACCCAAGAAAGAAAGCACACATGAAGAACTGGATCTGAAGCAACACAGTGTGTAAACAGATGAACTTCACAAGTAACAAATGTATTTCTTTGAGTTTTAATGTTATCACCATTTTTAATGTTTAGGTGCTATTACTACACGTACAACACTGGAAATGACTTATTGCAAGAGGCGTTTTATTAAGGGAAAACACAGGCATGTTTAGTCTGCTTAAAAAAAAAGATTAAGGAGCTCATTCTACTAAAGTTGGGAGTATAAATACTGGATATGACAAAAGGGTATCCTTTTAAATATAAAAATGATCATGTATCTGATAATATCACTCTCTTTAGGTACTCAGAAAGAAATGCTTTATCAGTTACCCTGACATCTTCTAAAGAAAAGTTCCTTTAACTTGCTATATTTATAATAAATTGGTAAATCCGAAAGGTTTGCAGAACTACGTTTTCCCTTATAAACCTGACCATTGTAATTCAAGACCAGTGATTTTTCACTTTGTGAATGTTTTTCTTCCTATACCTCAGAGCAGTGCTAAGATGAGCACATTGAATCAGAAAAGCTCAGAGAACACCATGTCCAAAGTCAGGCTGAGTTTCTGGAAAAGGAGCTCATCAGTTTCTTCTTTTCACATATCCTGTATCAGTTCTGTCTCCCCATGCCCTTTGCTTTCCTGGTGCAGAAATGACACTTAAAAAGCCTCAGTCCTGCACCTCTGCCAGAGGCTCAAAGGGCAAGTCAAATACCCTGTGAAAAGCCACAGGCCCCTGATCGCCAGGGAATTCACGAAGACACAGGGCAGTGAGGAGTTTCGTAAAGGACATTTTGATCATTTCATGCATTTGTGGACATCTAGCTTTATGGCATGCTAGACACAACTGAGGGCAAAAACATACATCATTAATGAAGCAAAACAGACCCCGAAAGCAGAAGGAACAAGAACAAGAAAACACAAGTTTGCAAGCCATATATAAGCAATACAAGTTTTGTATCACCGAGTCAGTAGACTGATAAATAACAGTACTAGGTTACAACCATGGTGTAATCACTATTATTAAATATGAAGCAGCATAGTGGAATGTAGCAGATATTCAATATACATTATCCAAAGTGATAATAAATTTTAAAGAAGCTGCCACAGTAGAAGTTTGCTTAGCTTTACAAAAGCACGTACGACCTTCACTTTGTTGAACTGTGCATTTACCTTCTCTTCCCTGTCTGAATGGGGTTAGTGGCACAGCTTTGTTAAAACAGTGCATGGTACTGACTAATGAGTCCTATAAAGAGAAGAGCTAGTATGTTTCCAACTGGAAAATTTTTACGGAGATGACAGTTTAAGGTGATAAAAAATAGAAAGGATCAGAGATTAAGTAAGCTACAAGAAAGCAGAAATGTCTCTTATATGAATGCTTGCTGATCACATTAGAACCAAAGGAAATTGTGATGATCACTGTAAGTCTGAACTCTGTTATATCGTGACGACAGCTCAGTGGCTCTGCCGTTCCCAGGTGAACAGCAGTACCAGGTGGGTGTGTGACAGGAGGCACCTCATCAAACGGGTCCTGTTGATGCAGACACACACACATACATACACACAGACAGAATGAAGTTGTTTTATTATTCCTAAGAAATACCTATGTAAGTAAATCTGATCCCATGCTGGGGTAGGGAAATTTGCTGGTTTTCCTTTTGGATCTCAACTTACAAGGAAATGCTTAAAGTGCCCAGGCATTTACGGAAAACTCTTCCTCCTCCATGTTCTTCCTGGCTTCAGCTGGCATATTAAAATGGCTTAAGGGGCTTGCCTGGTGGTGCAGTGGTTGTGAGCCCGCCTGCCAATGCAGGGGACATGGGTTCGTGCCCCGGTCTGGGAAGATCCCACATGCCACGGAGCGGCTAGGCCCGTGAGCCATGGCCGCTGAGCCTGCGCGTCCAGAGCTCCGCAACGGGAGAGGCCCGCGTACCGCAAAAAAAAAGAAAAAAAAAAATGGCTTAAGACCCCTCAACCCATCAATGCCTGCACCTTCTCAGGCAGAGCCTTCTGCTTTGTCTACACAGGGTCTACCAAACTCTAGCCTCTGTCCAGTGAACCAACCCAGAATGAAGCAGAGGGGATCTCTGCATTGCTCAATATGTCTTCTAACTCCAACTAAGTTCTTCAAGAGCCATGCAAGTCAGAGGTTAAAGGAAAGTGGAGAATGTCTTGCAAAGGAGTAGTTCGCTCAAAGCCTATCTGGCAGTAAGTAGCCAAGAACAGAAACCTTAGAGGAGTCAAACCAGAGTCAGCAAAGAGACTGGTCCCCGAGGAAGGAAAGAAAGAGTTTCTGGAAGGAAAAGTGAAGAAGCTCCTTAGAATGGGGTTTCCTCAACCCAGTAGCCTCAGCTGGTTTAATGGGCCAGCTTCCTTGGTTGGTTTTCTTGCCAGGAGGTGGGGCTACCCCTCCCAGTCTTAAAGAGAACAAGACAAATAACATGCTTCCAGGATAAATGGACCAAGTAAGTCATCCGTGTATTTTTTTTCCGGGTTATATCTGGAGACTATCTGCTCCTTAATTGTAAAATATTTTATTTGAGGTATGGCTCAGAAATAATGCTTCTACCTTAGAGTAAAAAAAAAAAAAAAAAAAAGGATCACTGAATATTTAAAGAGAAGTCAGCCCATTTAAAATAATACTTTAGTGACAACTAGAACCGTGACATCAGAATCTTTGGCAGCAGGTCTTGAGCTTCAGTGTTTTTTAAGTTCCCTGG